ATGTGAGTTCTAATTGCATGATAAAAATTCCCCGTCAAAACAAATTCCTTCCGAATTAATACACAAACAAACAATGAAAAAACATTATGGAAGTAAACACCGTTTTGGATGAAATGAGTGTAAATTTTCATTATGGCTCCATTTGAAGCATGACGTAAAAGTTGGTAAATACATTGGCAGAAATTAGTATAATTGTTTAAAGCCTGTATTGTTATTTGTCTATTACCATTGATTTTAAAACGATATTAAATGATTTCTTCTGAAAGTCTGAAACTGCTTTGTTTGTCGCTGCTGCTTGGAATTCCGATTTAATGTTAAAGCCTTATTACAAGGAATCTCTCGTATGAAAAATGTCACCTCGGTTACCAATATCATGAGTTTAGAATGAATATCCAGCGGAATAGTTCCTTGCGGATCGTTTTCATTTTAAGATATAATGATGTTATACTGCATGTTAAAACGAAATATATATTGAATTTTTGAGTCCGTTGAAACAAACTTTTAAAAACGGACTGAAAATACGAATTCCCTACATGACTGGACACTTTTTACATATCAGCCCCCCAGACTTTTGTCGGAGCGTCCCGGACAAGAACTCACAATACTAATAGCTTAGTCCACAAAAAAGGATCTCGAGGATATTTCGTCGCCATGCGCCCCTTTGCTTGTCAGATATTGTAGATAACTGTCGTAATCGACCTCATATTTGACCATTTGTTGAACTTGAAAATGACAACCAGTGTAGACACTGTGAACCGCCATTAATGTCTAATTTGAAATGGATCTCTTCATTTTCTCAAGTGTTAGGTGAAATCATAAAGGAGGTTTTCACTTGGGGGTGTCGGCGACGTAACACCGATCTGTGAGGCCCACTATTTCAGTCCCCAATGGTCTGGGTTAGGTAGGAGTAATAAACACCTAGTCACAAAAATGTGTCGTCACCGTTTTTGTTCTCGAACAGTTATCGCCCGTGTGCGAAGACAAGATTTCACGATAGCTTTGTTGACAATTCAGAAAAGGCTTTTAGGATCTTCTTACTTACACCGTCACACGACGTATCAGTTATAATACTCACAGCGTAGGCAAAAAACTTTGATAGAGAATTCTACGATAACTCGCTCTTACACCCATTGTCATTACTAATCGAAAGGCCAAACGCCAAAGGTGCGAGGGGTATTTGGTTTAGAGGCGTTTTGAATAGAGTAGCCACCGCTTAAAGCTCTACTGGCGCCATCTGACCGCGGTCTAGGCTCCAGACTTAAGTTATGAACTAAACCCCGTAAATGAATAGAAAATCAGCTCATTATGATAGCTCGACTAAATAAACAAAAACTCTACTTTCACCCACTCGCGTTTCAATTATTTATATTATGAATAGCAAAGGGGAATATACAATAAAGAGAAAATGGTATTTATTTTAAGATTATGATTAAGATTAATTTGTTTTAATATATAAGACACTAGACAAGATAGGCGAGACACTTTAATTCGCTCAATATTTTCAATGAAAATTATCAAAAATACAGATTGTTATATTGTCATTTTCATTAAGTCGATTAAAAAAATGATTGATTTTGTTTCATTTAATTCTGTGTGTTTATGACACTATATTTTTCATTTATCTAGAACTATACGTTGATAAAAAATTTGTGTATGCAAATTGTTTTTTGAATTATGGAATATTTTGTTTAGTCTGTGATCTTTGTATATATATTGTTTAATGAGATTGATAATTGGTGTGACAAGTTAGAATCTTCCCGGATTAATTTTTCTTTAATTTGAAATGTACAGACTTAAATAATTTTTGTACATCATGTATCTTGCTTAATTTGTTGTCAGTAGTTGAATTGTAAATAATTATTACAAGGTAACATGTAAATGATTCTCTATAACGTTTTCATGTAAATGATTCTTGTAAATTTTAACGGTTTTCATGTAAATGATTCTTGTAAATTTTAACGGTTTTTATGTAAATGATTCTTGTAAATTTTACTAGTTTCCATGTAAATGATTATTTATATATTTTACTAGTATTTATGTAAATGATTATTGATACATTTTACTAGTATCCATGTAAATGATTATTGATGAATTTACTTGCTGGATGTAAATATTTTCGGGTAGAGGATAGAGTTTACATAGATATACTTATTAAAGTTTACATGTAAATTATTCTTTATGAATTTTACAAGCTGTCATGTAATTACCTTTGATGACTTTTACTAGTTTACAGGTAAACGATTTAACTATTTAAATAATTCTCTTAAATAAAATTCCTGTAAATGATTCTGGTAAATTTTTATGGTTTTCATGTAAATGATAAGTGATAAATTTTACCAGTTTATATGTAAATGATTCTTTTAAAAATCATTCATGTAAATAAGTCTTGATAATTTTTGTAGTTTACATAATTGATTCTCGATGAAGTTTTTAATTAAGTTATTCTGATAAATTTGCATGTAAATGATTATTAATAAATTTTACAAGTTTACATGTAAATGATAGTCTATAAAGTTTTTATGTAAATGATTCTTGATGAATTTTACTTGTAAGCGATTATTGGTAAGGATCACCAGTTTATACTACCAAGTACTGTTAACGCAGATCCAATGCACTTGAGAGCATAATCACTGGATAGTAGTGAGCCAGCTTAATGTAGAATATTCTTGTTGTTGACTACTCTCTAAACAACAAGTTTGTTTACTTTGACCTTATTTTGAAAAATTAACCCCATTTTCTAATCTAGCTGTCCTAGTGAAGATTTGTATCCGAAACATATATTGGCAGTATGAAATAAGGCATAAGTTCTTGACTATTTAGTGAAGAACAGTAGGACATAAGCAGGTCTAGTCGTGATTATCCTTGCTCTTCTTACGTTAGGAGATTAAACATCTCTGATCACATAATATCTGACAACACAGACATATTGTAGAGCCACTCAAGGGTCATAACAGCTGATGTTGATTTCGCCATCTATAACACAAGGCACTTGACTATCATTATTATATAGAAAATCATAATCAGAATCAAAAACAAAATGTCCATTCTTACGTCCTGATATATGATGACGTAATAGATCACTGAAGTATACGCCGTGTATTTATATTATTGACCCTAAGATGTGCCATAAGTGATCTTTTGGCGAGAAATATGACGTGTATTAGTAAAGACATAGCGAGAAATAGAGGCGCCATAGTAAATGCTTATCACACGAAAGTATTTTTGCTTATAATAATATATGGTATGGTATGGTTGGGACAATCATATAATCTTCATCTTAAAAATCGCTGGTTGGTAACAAGTGACCCTGATGGTCAGATATGAATAAATTGACCTTTTTTATAAAAATGCTTACGTGGTCGAATTATTCCTTCTTAGTCGAGCTTGACCTTATGAATGGTCATTTATCACTTTCACAATTTGTAACTTAAAGGTGATATCCAAGAGGTGCTAGTGTAAATGGAAATCACTAACGTATATAATGCCCCTTCAAAGTTTTTAAAAGTTTCTTGTCGACATCAGATTTATCGAAGATGAGGCCTTAGCTATTGGCTTTAAAGAATAAAAAACAAACACCCTGTTCGTCTACAACCAAAGAATAGCTACTCACCTAGCGGACGATAGTCAAAATTTCAAAAACAGTATTTACTCTCCCCTATGACTTCATATCATCTGTATCATCATTGATAATAATTGCAGACGAACGTCAAATTTTCATCATATATAAAAGTAATACGGATAGCTATGTTTCAGTTAAAACATATATTTTTGATGTTTTATTATTATTATTAGTCTTGTATTTTGGTATAAAATTATTCACAGTAAAATGCATGCTTTTAAAAGAGTTCATGGCCCAAAAATTGTTTCGAAATTATAATGAAACATTTATATGACAAATAAAAAATGAAACTGTGCCTGCTTGAAACCCTTTTTAAAGGCCACCAACATTGACAAATTATTCAATGGATAACATTTAGATGATAACTCGAGAGTATCAAAAAGTCATCTGATGGGCCTTTTGTTGAAATTGGATGACTAAATTTCATTTTCTAAAATTATCATAGCGATAACCTTACAAGTAAGATAACATTTTTCTAACGTAGGACGATGATATACCAGGGTATGGACTATCAACTACAAAAATAACCTCGTCCACTTCAGACCTAAAATGTTTGAACTAACAGCCGGCGCCGAAAGTCTCTGTTATGTTGTTCAACAAGACATTCAGTTGTCGACTCCTTTCAGTTTTTTTGAAATATTGTTGCTGTCACTCATTTGACAGTGGGCGGAGTTTGGTAAATGATAGCTTAAAAGTATTACTATCAAAATTCTAAAAATAAATTTTGTCATTTTCTAGCAAAATTCATATTATTTCGATGATATATTTTTAAAAAAGGGGTCACTAGTAAACATTATCCCTTAGTACAATGGTTATTATTTCAATTGAGTATCTCAAACCAAATTTGTTGAATAAAGTTAAATATCCTTGTATTTTTAAATATAAATTCGATACACTTTCTAAAAAATGTGGGCGGGGCATGTAAAATTGTTTATATTGTCCTGTCAACGTAAAATCAATAAGACACACCCTTCTATAATTCTATTGGTCGCTTTCTCGCAAACTAACCAATGAAATCGATCCATTGAAGTCTCGACGACTTGTGAACTATCTATGTTGAATTTAGCGACAGTATGGCGGGGAGAGACTATAGTGAAAACAATTCAATGTGCAGAACGATGTTTTCTCGAATTTCTTGAAGAAAAATAATATTTATTTATTCGTTGATTAATTTATTTTTGTAAATAATTTTTTATTATTAAATCTGATGATATTGTTACCGGAGACTAGCCGTGCATCTAACATGGCGTTTCATCCATTTTTATTACACAGAGCTACGGACTACAGTATGGGGTCGCTGTTAGGACAGTCACCATTTTTACCAAATATGCAGCTACAACATCCAGGACTTGCAGCCTCTTTGCTGCCAAAGCTTCATTCCATGGGCAGGAACCCATTATTACCAGGTGAACTCTTTCCACACCCTGATCACTTTCGGACAATGAGAGGGCTAGAGCCTCCGGATAATGACGTTCAAGATGACCCTAAAGTCGACCTTGAAGAGAAGGATTTATGGGAGCAGTTTCACAAGTTTGGTACAGAAATGGTCATCACAAAATCTGGACGGTAAGTTTAAACTTAATCATTTATTTTCTGTTAATTTTCATGTTTATTAATATTCAACTTTGATGTGACCCAATTGATGAAATTTCTTTGTATATTAATGTAATGGTAGATTGACACAAGGAAACCAATTTTAAGTGTCAAAATTTGAAATATTATGGTTGGGGCTTCTAATATTTTTATCACCAAAGTGCATTTTCATAATTCAGAGAATTTAAAGCAGTTATTCCATTCAAAATGGGCTCGTAATGCAAATTTAACAGCCATAATCTGTGGTTTTCTTCTTATAACCAAACTTTTTTTTCACATTTAAAGAATTGTACAGTACTATCATCAAAGAAGCGTATTTTTTGCATTCTGGAAGGAATCAAAATTCAAGATTAACAGTCAAAATATTGAAATATATTGCAATATGATAAGGGATTTCTAATATTTACCAAAAACTACAATTTACATCGCTTAATTTTACTTTCTTGTCATTTTATATGTCTTAGATTTTTTTAAGAACAGTAGATATGACATTTAACTTAGTTCATTGTCTATTGACAGTAGTACAAATTAAAAACTCCAGCTTAAAATCGTATATAATTAATTCATAAGGTTTCTACCAAATAGTGTCATTTCTATTCCAAAATACAAGCTGTTTGCTTTTCCTTATGCAGCACCAAGTGAGATGTTTCAAAAACTAAAATAGATATACACATTTTATTACATAACGTTCATTTTTATCGCATTTTTAACGTTTTTTACATTGTTTTTCAACTTTTCCATTTTTCTAAAAGCAAAAATGTATGATTTGATGTACATATTATGTTATTTATGAATTAATTTGAAATATTTATAAAGGAAAACTTTAATGCAAGTTTATAGATAGGTAGTAAATGGTTCAGAAAAACGATTTTCATCTTGATTTGGTTAAGGCATTTTAGTTTTATGGATCTTCTCTTTCTGACTTATCACATACATTTTTTCGTTCCATAATATCCAAACGGTTAAGGGGTTTTATCAATTTGAGGTGACATAATTAGAATATAGCATTTTAGAGTTCGTCGTTCGATAAAACACCTCATCTTCTCGGTCCAGAATTCAATATAAATACGTCTTAATTGTATTGTATTTTATTCTTCTCTTTTTTCTGACAAAGACACTTGTAAACCAGCACAATGTCATCTGATTACTGCATTGGTCAATGTTCTGAAAACTGAAATTTGAAAAGATGCTTTATCATGATCAAGTTGATAAACATACTCGCTTATGGATAGCTATTTCTAGTTCAATATACTTTAATTACGGTGGCAATCAGGCCAAACTTGTTCAAGCTGTTCTCTGGTATAGGTTTGGCCACGCAACGAACATAATATTTCGGCCAAATGATTGCAAACAGTTCTACTTATTGATTAGATTCATAAGAATCATAAGAATTTATGATTGTTAAATAGTGTTCTGTAAGCACAGGTTTCATAGTGACGTAATGAGTATATCTGAAACAATTGTGATGCCATGTAGGATCATGGATCGTTAGACCTTATGAAATTAATCTGTCATATTTAACCACTTGGAGCAACGTTATCTTCGCTGGCGTAACTATTGGTCCGTTGAAATTGGTGTTCGAAAGAGTTTTATGACGTAAATTTTGAAAAACTTTAACAAATGACGTACAAAATGACTTAAAAGCTTTCTTACGACGCTGTTAGTTAGTGGCTTAGGCTATGTTTTCGTTTTGAATATCTCGACTAAATTAATAATAAGTTTTGAAATGGTTCTCTTTCTTTAAATTTTATCGTTCAAATAAATGTGTATTAAAACATATGTTGACTCTCTGACAGAGACACCCAGTTGAAAAAGCCAGGAGATCATGTCATGATGTCCTGGCTGCCGTCAGCCGAGTGTCTCATTCAGAGTGTATTCAGCAACTATTCTCGTCACCAACGCTAAGTTTGCTAAATTAATCATTATTGGTTAAGAGTGGTTTTTCAAGGGCTTGTAAAAAGGTTTTTCAAATTTTTTATGGTTATCTTAGACATAGTTAGCGTCGATATGCACCATCAGACGTCTGTGGTTCCTGCTATTCCACTAAAACTAAGCGTTTGAAGACGTCACTATTACAAAGGCCTTATATAATATAAGCAGATTTTGCACTAGTGACGTCATCAAACGCTTGGTTTAGTGAAATTGTAGGAACCACAGTCTGTTTGAATATGGAAATGGGGCAAATTGATGATATCATTGTCCACGATATACATAAAAAGAATAGAAAACCTCTTTCAATACCGCTCTGTACATTTTTAAACAATGATATTTTCAATTGCTTATAATGCATATACCAAATTTTGAATATTTAGATCTTATATTTGGCTTTACAAAAAATTAAATATTTAGTTTAGACTTTGTTGTATTGATTATTATCAATGATGTGTTGTAATGAATAATTAGGTATTTCTGATACATAACTTGCAAAATAAAACTTATGCATGCGTTTCACATGTACTGCATACTGGATGGACGATTCTTTGATTTTCTATTCAACTAAAATACTCAATTATGACCGTGAAACCTTTTTGAAAATATGCAATAATCAATTGTCGTTGTCTATATGCATAACCTAGACAACTATTTGCTTTAAGTTTCGACTTTATTTCATTCGAATCAATCCTCTGGCTGTATAAGTAGTAATTAAAACAATAAATGAGTCGTCTTCATTAATCAAAAATCATAGTTGCACAGGAATGGCAAACAGCGAGAAAAATGCACACATTAGAACGACATCAATAGTTCTGGTACAAGTTGGACACTTGTTTGCCACCTGAATAACGTCATCCTGGTTTTCATAGCAACACAACACAAAAAATTCAGATTTCACTTTACTGGCTTGTCTATAAATGACATGATTTTGATAATGAATGATTTTGGATTTTAATTGCAGTGGGAAGGCTACAATGTTTACTATTTTAGGACTCTAGTATGGTATGATATAGGGCATGATTGTCGACCTGATTACCCAAAATACCAGAAGGAAGCCTCTTAGTTTTATCACTCTGAACAGTTAGTAATATCTTTCTCTACAAATGGTTCCTCAAATTTAAGAATCATCTCCCTCTTTTTTAGTTTACAACGGTGATTCGTCCTTTTGTACTTGGTGCGAGTGTCATTTCATGTATTGCTTTATATAAATAAACTCTCTATTTTATATGGGCCAGAATTAGGTCCAATACACCAAGGTGACATGGTCCTGTCTAACATTCAGTCCAGGGGGAAAATTTGAAAATTTCTGGAGATCCTACATGTTCTGAAGACAGGTGTTCAATGGTGAAAGTTTGTGGATAATTTACTTGAGCATTGTCGAATTATGATATTTCTATCATATTTAAAACCTAATTAACATAATTAGTTGGATTTGGAGTGGATTGGAGAACTCAATTAAAATCTCATTTGTCAAAAAATATGTCAACGTTCAAAATATGGGTATATAAAACGTCCATATCGTTGAGTATGTTTGATCAAAATGCAATTATCATTTGATAATCGGTGGCCTATTTTGATAATTGGTGATCTCGTTTGATAATTGGTGATCTTTGGATAATTGAGGATATTCAGATTCCTTGTTGCCAACATGCAAAACATAGATTAATCAGCAAAATAAAGATTGGTGTAAAGTCATAGGCTTTTGCTCAATTTGTATTTGAAATTTTTGCGATTTGATATTTGATAATTTGGTAATCGTTTAGTAATGTCCAAGAATCACAAAAATGATTTGTATAGTATAACGAATCAACTTTACATCCCTTTCGGAGAATCCACGCAGCAAATGATATATATTTGGTTCATCTAATACATGGTTTTCAACCTTTCTCATTCAATTATCCTCTGTCAGGGCTTTGCACATTCTTTATTTCACTCTTTAGTTTCATTTGGCATCTATCCTGCTTAAAGTAAATCTAACAAAAATCAGCATCCCGACGATATCTTAAATGTTCCAAGTTATATAATACTTCCGAAATTTTAATTTTCATTTTGCCGACATTTTTTTTTTTGAATGATGAAATTGTTACTTCGATTTGTTCTTTTCACAACCCCTGGTCCCCCACGAAGAAGAGTTTTCCATTCTACTTTGCTGTAACTCATCTGGTTGACGGTCATATATGCCTATACCTTTTTTAGTGGTTTGATGAAAAAATAGTCAAGATAACAAAAAGAAAGGACAATGACAATGCTTACAATGAGAAAACAGCAATGAAATAAGGTTGGCGTTATTCTTTTCTAATTCATTTTCGTATTTTAAAATACATATGTTATTGTGTCAAGATAATTTTAGGCCAAACAGGTGGCTAATGGTAACTATTATTTTTTCAAATATCTCCACTTTTTCATAAAAGAAATTCTTTGTTCATCATGAAAACTTTTCAAACAGGTAGTTCTGTGTTCATCATTTTAAATCAATTTATGATGTAGCCTACATGGTTCAGTTTTTGGAATTTGGAGATTCTGAGTTATCAGAATTTGACACAATGGTTTCTGAGTTATCAGAATTGGATATAATGATTTCTGAGTTATCAGAATTGGATATAATGATTTCAGAATATCTCAGAATTTGACATAATGATTTCTGAGTAATCAGAATTTGACATAATGGTTTCTGGGTTACCAGTTATTGACATAATGATTTCAGAATTCTAAAAAATTGACTAAATGATTTCAGAATTCTCAGAACTTGACATAATGATTCCAGAATTTTCAGTATTTGATATAATGATTCTAGTGTTATCAAAATTTGCCATAATGATTTCAGAATTCTCAGAATTTACAATAATGATTTCAGAGCTCTCATAACTTGTCATAATGATTTCATAATTCTCAGAATTTGACACAATGATTTCATAATTCTCAGAATTTGACACAATAATTTCATAATTCTCAGAATTTGCCATAATGCTTTCAGAATTCTCAGAATTTGCAATAATGATTTCAAACTCTCAGAACTTGACATAATGATTTCTGAGTAATCA